AGCATTTACTAGATATATTTGATGACGAGGAACCCACTTTGAGACTAATAATGGCTGGAGACGGCTTGAATGGGTAATGAAGAAAAACTTTAATATAAGTTTAACATAACAGCAAATGTACAACGTTTCGACAAGATTTTGTGATGATGACTTATATTAAAGTTTTTCTTCATTACCCATTCAAGCCGTCTCCAGCCATTATTAGTCTCAAAGTGGGTTCCTCGTCATCGAATATATCTAGTAAATGCTAGGGCATTCATGAAGGAACAAGATATTTCTTGAAAATAGGTGGCGTGACATTAGTCACGTGACCTCGCTGACGCAACAATATTAACGCGTATTTCTCGTAGCTACTTCATATTCACCCGTTTGAGATAAAGTGAAAGCAAACTTGTAAAAATAACTAATCAAGTTTTATAGTAAAACACTCAAATTTGACCCAAACTTTTAGTGATTAAGATAGCTAGCTCATCGTGACATTGCATTTGTAATGACTTATTTCTCTTTAAGCCTTATGTGTTTGCTATAAAACTTGAGAAGCAGTTGTTACACCTAGCATTATTTATATATTTAAACTTTTTTAATGTCACGTCTGCTATCCGCATTTAATATATATATATGTGCAAATACATATGTATTATATTATACATTGGTTAATTTGTTTGAATATTTCCAAATTCCATTTGATGATGCCGTGATGGGTTAAACATAAGCCTAACTTTTAGCACAATTATCTGGTGTTATAACTTGAGTTATAGTTAACGTATATAATTCACAAAACCCGACCTACCGATTGGTGTATCTTGTGACTAGCATTAGTAACAACACTCAAAAAAAAAAAGGGAACATTAAAGGAAAGTTTAAAGTGTCATGATCTGATACATTGACAGTATATTATAGTGGAATAATCCAACTTTGTAATAAATGAAAGAGCTTATGTTTTCACATCATTGAAAACTAGTTTATAGTGGTACTAGTAGTTGAATGTTTAGGACCTTCAGATATTTTAACTGAATCTCTAAAGTGTCATGATTTGGAAAGTATTCTACAGTAGGATAAACAATCTTTTTAATAGACAAAAGACGCATGTTTTCAGATTAATAAAAACCCGTGTTTCTCCATTGGTTGTTGAATGTTTACAAATTTCCAGTTCCAGTATCAAAATCAACTCTACACTAGCTGTTGATTTAAGCTTATCAAAACAACTTAAGTTGCCTTTACTGGTGCCTAAGGTAGGTATGCACATATAT